AAACTATTGAATAAGGTTTACTTTCAATGACGGGCAAATATAATTTTGTTTAGACTATGTAAACGATAGAGCAAATAATTTCCTATAAAATTAGGTATTTCCGGGTTCTCTGCAACATTTTTTTTAGGTGAGATACCGCAATCTTACGCAAGTGCCTGAAGTCGTCCTTTTAAATGTCCTATAGAAAAAAAAAACATTTTTTTTTTTGACTTTCAATCAAATTGCTATAACTTAGTCGAAACACATCGCAGAAAATTTGGCGATGTTCTATTTTTTAGAGGATGATTTACTCTATTGTTGTATATAATATATCTTACGTTAGTATCAAGAAAAAAAACTTAAAAATATAACTGCTCTTAAACTTTGATGAGTACTTTAGTTCATAAGCACTTGGCATCTTTCATGGCAATTATTTTAACAATTATATTAGATAAAAAAGGTTTTATTTTATATTAAAATGAATAATAATTGTTAGAATATTAGTTTCTTCATTATTCTAATTTTAATTTTTTTTTTGAATCAAATTTGTGATAAAGTTCATATGCATCGAGCCTGTAAAAGATCATAAATAAAATTTTATACTCTTGTTACCTTTTGTATATCATGATACTTTATCATTTAATGATATCACCTATCATGAGATAAAGAAGAATGAAATATCTACTAATACATCTCTGAAAAAAAAGTCTCATTCTTCGTCCTTGAAGAGTAAAATAATAATAACGATAAGGGACTATCATCTATTTCAATGCACTGCAGCATGATTACAAATTGACTCCGCTCGAATATGAAAAAGAAAATCAGTGAAATATCTCTTAATAACTAATGCAGTAATAAATATTAGAGTAGGAAAATGTACAGAATCAGCAAAAAGCTTAATACAATAAAAGAATTCTATTGTGAAAGAAAAGTACTTTTTTGAATATTTACGTCGAATTTTTCCCTTTTAAAAATAGAAATAATACACAAGATTAATCATATCAAGTTAATTCATTCGATATCCAGTTAATTAGAAAATAATTATAAAGTTGTTTCGAAATGCAAATTCACTACTTGAATCATACTTAATGCACTATTTCATTTTTAAGGTGACCTTTCAATAAGTTATAGAAGTGGGAAGAGGTGAAAACTTGACAGATATCTGGAGACAGTCAGTTTGACAAAAAATAATTGTGAAAACCCACGTTTTAAAAATTTAGTAAACAATTTTTCAAAAACAGCTCAAAATTTACTCGAACAGAAAGTAAAACCTGGAAGAGAGTAGCTCACTCAGCCTTGCTCCCATATCGAAACCTATGTTTCTGATGCTTGACGTATTAGCAGTAAGTTTGTTCGTAAATTTAAAGACATTTCTAGACGTATAATTGTCTAATATGATAGAAAAATGTTGAATTACCAAACCAAAGTCCTGAGAATACAATGGCTGAAATAGTCATATTATGAGTGTGGGTAGTTCGAAGATTATTAGTATCGCTTTCAAATCCACACTCATCAAAGGTATATTAATCAACCTTTGATTGAATTTAATTTTTCTTTGTGACATTCGTTTTTTTTTTTGTATTTTTCCATTCATTGAATTTTCTTATGACAATAAGATAGCAAGATCAATTTATATTCATGTTGTATCATAAATCACCTATTCGATTTCACTCAAAATTTCTCTTAACATACTCTAATATTTTTATGAATACTATTGATAGTAATAAACAATAACAGCGAATTTCAAACTATTCAGAATCGTATTGAAACTTTGTTAAATATGACCTTCCAAGAGTGTTGAAGTATAGAAACAAAAAAAATTCGACTCGTCTTCTATACAATAATAGACATTGATGTATAATCACAGACCGTATCTCAATAACGTCTCATTATAATATAGAAGACTATGTCCTTGCTATATTTCTGAAGGATTAACTAAAACAATGGTAAAGGTATATCTCCCAAAATAGACAATAAAATAATCCTTCTATGATATATATATATATATAGTAGTAACTGGTAACAGTTAAACGAATAGGCAAGGTTTTTCTTTTGAGCTTTTTCATGTGTGTTTGTTTTTTCAAAAGAATTGATTCTAGAAGTCTTTTTCTCGAAAATTAAACACTCTGTACTGGTGTCAAAGACTAATGTCCGCACCAGAATAAAAGAGGGATGGGTGTAAGCTCAATAACTCGACAATTGCAATAGCTAGTGACCTACGGTTTTCACCAATCCAAAGAGGAGGAGTGGGCACGTATTTTTCTTCGATAATATATAAGACGAAGTTCTTTTAAAACGAATGATATTTGAAAAACATGCAAAAGAACTCATGAAAATGTCCTGCCAGCTAGATGAAACTTGATTTTGACCTTCGCTTTAGATAGAGGAACTTGAGATAGTTCAAGATACAATGCAAATGAATGTCTTATTACATTCAAACATTGAGCCAATGGAATCATGTACTTACATGCGCAAATAATAGGAAATTTTGCTGATTTTTTTATTAAGTTTTCGCACTTTTTATCCTAGTAGCTTGAGATTTCGATGAAAATGTAGAAAAAGTAAGAAAGTGTATTGTGTCTTGAACTGTAGATCTCAAGTTCCTCTATTTAAATCGAAGGTCAAAATCAAAATTTCATCTACCTGGCAGGTCATTTTCATGAGTTCTTTTGCATGTTTTTCAAATATCCTTACTTTTAAAAGAATTTCGTCTTATACATTATCGAAGAAAAATACGTGCCCACTCCTCCTCTTTCGATTGGTGAAAACCGCAGGTCGCTGGCTATTGCGGTTGTCGAGTTATTGAGCTTACACCCATCCCTCTTTTATTTTGGCGTGGGCATCAGTTATATAAGGAAACACACACCGGAGTATTTCGATTAAGTGAAAATGTATCAACTCGCTTCGAGATCAATTTATATTATCGAAACCAAACCGAATAATTCTTATTGTAGTTTTTCATAAATTTATTTGTATTTCCTATTAGCTATAGCGTATATATCGCACAGACATAATAGATAACACTGTGTATGTTGAACGAGCACTTAATCAATGTGTAAAGCTAATAAAAAATTTGTAGTTCTACGACTCGTTCTGTTTAAAATAAACAGTGAAAAGAGTCATAATAACCGAGACAGGACCCTTATGTCATTACCGTAGTGATTCAGAGGTAGACATGATTAACCGAGGCCTTTAATTGACTGCTATAGGATGATAAAAGTGAACTATGATTCATGCCTGTCTATGAACCACAACAACAGCTATATCGTGTTTTATTTTTTAATTCTGTATGAATTGTACTAACAATTCGTTATTAAAAAGTAAAAAATATTAATGTATGTCTTCTCAATAAATTGACTTCTATTATATCTAATCGACAGTTCTCATGAAAATATTTATTTCTAATTTCAATGAGTTTTTCAAGTTAACTAAACTATAGATATCTGAAATATTCTTTTTTTTTTCATACCTCATTAATAGTATCATTAGTTAACATATTTGTTTCATTAACATGTCCAGAATTTGTTTGTAATTTTCTTTTAATAATAATATCTACAGCTGGATAAAGACTCATTTGTTGATGTACACGAAAATTTTTATCATTTCCAAATAATGTTTGAATTCGTTGAACATTTTTTATAGCTTGACTATTTTGCATAAAAAAAATTGTTTCATCAAACTGATATATTTGAATAAAATAAAAAAAACATATTGTAAGTCCAATAGTTATACATAAACTTAAAATAAGTATTAGCCATGAAAAACGTATTAAAAATTTCGAATAATAATTCCAAAATTTATTAATTTTTTCTTGAATTGAATTTTTTGATATTTGAATTCGATTATTATCTTTACTAATGTTAGACATTGTTATATTAACTTCGTTATTTGTAATCTATTTAATAATAAAATGAAGCAAAAAAAGAAAAATTAAATAATAACATTCTTTGATTTCTTACCATCTGTATTTCACTCATTTTTGTCTCTTTTTTTAACTGATACACACGTGGTGGAATGTGTAGGAGGAATAAAAAAAAAAAACTAGAGAGCGAGCTCAAACACTATCTCATATTCTATTTTTTGAAGTGTCGTGGAGGACAACGCTTAAGATAAGACTCCGGGTGTTAAATCTTCACATAAACACTTAAATATGACCCATAACGAACTTTTGGTGACAAAAAGAAAAATAAATAACACTTATTTTCTTTAATCTTAATTCTCTCTGTTTCTCTTTAATTTTTGATATATAGTTTATGGATTATATTCTTCTTGACTATGGTATCTATTTTCTAATGGAAGATTGGTGGAGGCGAAAGATAAAATTATATGCGCAATGACAAAATATACCTCATAGACAATTTTCGAAAAAAAAACACGTAAATTCTTCACACATGTCGCCTATTTGTCTGTTTCCGCATCAATTTTGTATTCCCATTGTATCATCGAAAAATCTTTCAACGATAAATCGGGTGATACAAAAGCACAATGAGTAAATATATTCATCAAACAAGTCGTCATAGAACAGGAAAAAAAAAGGAAAAAAAACAGTGCCCACGATAGTATCGTACGAGATTGGCAAGAAAATATCACGCCATACTCTGTTGTCATTGTTTTACATATAGAGAAAAATCTAACATCATTACATTATATACTGCAATTGTACATAGACAGATTAAATAGCATTCGTACTTACCAATCATTAAATACTTTCTATTGATGTATAATATTTGAATACATGAGTGTATTCCATGTGAATGCAGGTCACAAGGTCAAATATTTTCTATACAAGAATAAAGCGAGGGAAAAAGAAGAATATATATATATATAGTGACCTATCGGTCATAGGTAGCCGACAATTTTATTCACTTCTTTCTGAGTAACATTTCCTTGACCATACATAAAATGAAGTGTTTTATCTGTTTATCTATTTATTTAATCTAAGGTTTTCTTTTTTTTTTTTTTCAAACGGAAAATAAATGTAAAAGAGTTAGACAAAAAAAAAAAAAAAGAAAAAAATTAATCTAAGCATTTGGAATTGGTGTGCCCGGCGCAGGAAGACCAAATGTACCAATAGCAACACGATTAAAAAAACTGGAACCTCGTTTTAATTGTTCCTAAAAAACAAAAAATATTAAAATTCAATAATCATAAAGTTTCAATTAAAAGAAAATGACGTACAGTTTTGCTTAATTGTTTATATGCATCTTGCCAATTTGCATAGATAGGCGAAATAGGTAACATACCAGCTCGAAGACCACTTCGATTAACGGTCATTATTGTTGTTACAACACTTAATGGATAAGTAACAGTTTGAGCAACAAACTAAAATAAAAAGAAAATTTATCAAAAATAATTTAATGGTTTTTTTTTGTCAAAATAAATGTTTTTAAACATTTCATATATATAGAGAATGTTAGATTTCATTCTATTGAAAATTATATATTATCTACAGCATTGTTTTTTTTTTGTAAGAATCTTATCAAATATTCTATGATTCATTAACATAATAAGATTGATTCATTGGAATATTATATTTTTTCTTTTTGAAGTTTAGTTAAAAATGAATTCTGTATATATGTCAATGATGAGAGTTGATTAGTTCAATGATAACAAAAATTAAGCAAAACATTTATTCTTTTGTATGCTAATTTCTCAATATTGATTTCTATAAATAGATATTATAGTACATAAATGCTTCAAACTAAATAACCTTGAGAGAAAGATACCGTATATCAATCGATTCTCTAATACGTATTTCTATTTATAGTTTATCTTAACTTTTCTACAAATGGGAAGTACATTACTATCCATTGGAACATATACGAGAAATATTCGAAATGATTCATCATTTTTAAGGACATATTTTGCACATATGGAGGAAATCTTTAAGTTAAAATAATTCGAAAAAAATTGAGATTAATAGATTTTTTTCTACAAAATTATAATTGTTTTGTTGATTTTAAACATAGAAATAAGTATTACTAGGAAAACTTAATAGAAGATTTGTTTTCAGTTAAAATACTATGTCAAAATATTAGTGTCCTAATCCTAACAATTTCAAGAAGAAATCAATCATTATCACTAATATTTTCAAGATTATAAAATCTACAACATTTATTAATTTAAAAAAAAACAAACTTTTTGTTCAATTTTCTTAATAATACTTCGTTCTATGATAAAAATCAAACAAATTTCGTATAACTCTTTCAAGCATATATATAGAGAGAGCAATTTGATGAATTCATATACAGTTAATTTTTTTCAATGACATTGATTTTAAGAAAATCAATACAAAACTTACAGCAGCGAAATATTCATATAATGGTAACATTTCACTTTGTGTAGGTAATTGTGTTTTAAGCATATGAATAAGTACATTTGATATAATAATAGTAGTTATTTCAAGTAACCAACGAGGAATTAAACCACTATTATTTCAATAATAAAAAAGAAAAACAAAAAATTTCAAATGATAATTCAAAACTTTTACATACACAAAAAATCCACCAATTCCTTGTTTATTATAAATTTCTTGAAAATTTTGAATAATATTTATTGATGAATAAACATTTTCTCGACCAATAAATTGTCCCATACATCGTATTGCCATAACTAATTATACATAAAAATTTCAAAGAAAAAAAAAAAAAAGAATTTTCCCCTCTATTATACCTTGAAATGGATGTGATAATAAAATTCCCCATGATTGACATCGTACTTCTCGTAAAGTTTTCTTCACACAAACATTCCATCTTGGTTTAGTTTCATCATTTGGTACTATTACTTCAACAGGTCCAAGAAGCTTTAACAAACAAACAAACGGATTAGTTTTAATTTTTAAAATTTAATTTCATAATCACCTGATCAACTTGTGTTGTTGTATACCAACAAACTAATTTTGATAAAAGTGTACAACCAAATCCACGATATAAACCCATAACACCATCAATATTATAAACATATTTAACTAAATCACATAAAAATTTTTTCTAGATTTTTAATTTAATAATAAATTCAACTAACGATATCGAAAAACATTTGGATAAAATAAAGTTTCTTTTCCAAATAAAGTTTTACCACGATAAGCAGGTAATGGTTCATATCCAATCTAAATAAATACATACAATAACTATATATATATATAAAAATAGAATTTAGTTTTTTATTTTCCTCTTACCTGCATTAATACTCGTGCATAAGTTACAGGATGTCCTAAAGCTTGTTGAAGTGTTGTTGCTTTTAATACTGCAAATGTTGGATTAGCTGTGTTAGGTGTTGCAGTAGATCCAACTGTGACTTGTGCTCGAGGAGATGTACCAGTTGGTTGAAATAATGATGATGTTGTTGAAATATGTTCACCAGTTTGAACATCATCGTTCGATGTAGAACCATCCTGAAATTGAAAAATAAGAATTTACAATTAAAGAAGATTTCGATAGGGACGATCGTTCCTCATTTTCAATTTCCTTTTTTTTCTCAGTAGACAATGCTAAAAAAAATGAATCAATATGATTTATAATGGACTTCAAAAATATATTTGGCAATCATGATCGCCCCTTTTCTTAGAACTCTAGATCTGCTACTGAAGATTTGATGTTGAAAAATTAAAAACAATCATATACTTTTGATCTTGTAGTAGAAACTGCTGGTGGAGTATTCATTGTTGAATTTAACAACAATTACAAATGCTGATAGAAGAAGATATGCTATATGTCAATCGATTGGTTGATTAATTAGTTCCTTGTGTTTTGTTTCTATTAGATTTGTTAAAATTTTTAAATGAAAAAATTTTCAAAAGATATTTTCAAATGATTTATCAAGCATTTTTGATTATTTAAAAAACAAATTTTGATAAAGAATTTTCTGTTCATTAGCGTCATCTGTTCAAATCATGACTCAAATAAATACTTTTATTTCGGGATTTTGTTGATAGATAACATAATATTATTTAATGTCTCGAATAGTTTTAATTATGGAAATATGCATTCAAAAGTATTTTGACTAAATAAATTGACGATTATAGTTGTCGAAATGACTAGAAATGGTCATTTATACTGTTACTTCATATCAGTGTTTTTAATGAGAATCTGAAATAGAATGTATGCGTACACTGTGTTTTTTAGAACACCATGTATCTATACACTTGGTTTTTTGTAGCAAAGTGTACAAAATGTATAAGAAACACGAAACTTTTTTCTGTTCATAAAAGACATTTTTTATTTAAAAAGCTTTTATTTCATTTTAATGAAGACAAGATGATTTGAAAAAAAAACAAAAATAAAACGTTTTGAAATCACAAAAACAAAAAGGTCAAAATGGATCCGAAACTTATCAGACATTTTTATATATGTTACTTTCACGCAACGTCTTGTAATCAGATGAGATTCTTGTAGTTAGAATAGTTTTTATCGTACAGTTATACTCGTTACTAAGCGTTTTGATTTTTGAACTAAGTAAATTGTTAGAGAAAATTGTTGTACTCATAGGCTGAGTTTGCATAAAAAAATAGTTCAGACAAGCACTTAGTTATTACAAATTTTTTATTATCTTTTAACAATGTCTTATTATTTTAATTTTCTACTGTAAGAATCTCTGTCACAAACTAGAGATTCTTACAGTAGAAAATTAAAGTAATAAGACATTATTAAAAGATGATAAAAATTTTGTCATAACTAAGTGCTCGTCTGAACAATTTTTTTTATGCAAACTAAGTCTACGAGTAGAACACTTTTCTCTGACAATTTACTTAGGTCTGAAATCAAACTTGTAAAAACGCGTTAAACTTCTGGAATGAAAACGAAATCGGAAAAATGTACGCTTTTTGTGATTTTCTTTTCGTTAAAATTTTAACGCGTTTTTCTTTCATTTTTTGTCTAACTGAGTCTTATCATATTTAATTCAGATAATGACTTCTTACAGAACTTCTGAATTAATAGCTTATGTAAAAACTATATTTTTGAACTTCGACTTCGAACTTTGTATACGTGAAGGTCTCAATCAGACTATCTCATATACGAAACTTCATTTATTTTGAATATTGCAATGCCAGGATGTGAATTTCTCAAAAAATATACACTTTCAAGTATTGCGCAAAATACAGTTATTTTGAGAAATTCATATGCTGACATTGCAGTACTGAAAATTAATGAAATTTTGTGTATGAAATAGCCTCATTAAGGCCTTCGCTTATACAAAGTTGCAAGACGAAGTTCAAAGATATGTTTCTTTTCAAAAGCTATTGGTTCAGGAATTTGGTAAGAAGTCATTATCTGAATCAAATATGGATAAGATCCAGAGTCATTTTAGGGTTATGATATTCTAGTGGTACTCTGCATACAGGCACCTTGTGATGGCAGTGAGAGCGAATCATCTACGAATGTCTGTTCGTTGAGATCCAGTGCCTAAAAGCGCTTAAACATGCGACTGCAAGCGCTTTTCAGCTACTTAAAATGTGCGCTTTTAAGCCCTTGCAACGCTTACTGATTCCACCGCTTAAAAGTGCTTAGATATCCAATTGTAAGCGCTTAAAAGTGCTTAAAAACGTAATTGTAAGCGCGTTTTAGTAGCTTAAAATGTGCGCTTTTAAGCGAGAAATTTAAGCTGCATTAAGCGAGCTTTTCTGCTTAAATTTTCACATGGGAGAGTATATTGAATTCTAGTACAAATATAAAACATGATACCATTCGAGTAAATGCTAATCAAGAGAAAAGAAGATATTAAACTTGAAACTATGCAACAAAATTCTCCTGTACGAATTGGTAAACTATATGTTACTTCCAGCATATGAATCTGAATCAGAATAATTACTGTGAATTTCAAATTATACGTCGATTAAACATGATAAAGTGCAAGATATGAATGATGAAATTTATTTAATAAATGATATCTAATTACTAGAAGAACATGTGATACGAAATAGAACGTGAAATGTGTTATAAAACAAACAGAAATTATACTTTCTTAGATTATTATTTCACGTTTATTTTAAACTAGAATTGGACATATAAATTTGCAATAATTAGATACAATTTGCAATCATACTTTGTGAACGGTGAACAGTTTTCCTCTAGTATTATGCATAAGATCGTTTTATCAATATATAATATTTACAACTTAATAAGCAAAAGAAAATATTATTAAAAAGAATTGTTTTTGTTTTCTTATGAATTTGTATTATTTCCTCATACAGTGATGTATGAGGTGGATAGATCGATATTGCTATCCATCTTCTATTCAACAATCAATATTCAAATTATTTTAGATTTGAACTCTATCATATCGAGGAGAGCTAGCACAGTAAAGAATTGTTCTGAAAATTGTTTGATACTTGCTAAAATTTGTTGGATAGGTTTTGATGCTGCAAGGAAAAAAATTCTTTTACTAACAAGAAAACATAGTGATGACATTCGTAAAAACAAATCGATATGTTTTGCTTGCATTTGTTCACTTGGAGTACTCTATTATGGCTCATGTAGAGCTCAGGAACGCTCAAGATTATTGAATGATCCACTTCTATTAATTAAACAGGCGGTCTTCAATAAAAACAGATGTCGAGTATCGATTTGCTTCCGGGATAGCAGAATCGGAATTCTGCGTCCATATGCTATTGGCTCATAAGGAAAGTGGGCTTCAAGTGAATATCCTGAGAGCGCGGCTCGAACGATTATCACCATTGTATATTTACTATTAATGCTGTTTGGTTTTTGGTGTTGTGTAATATTCTTTGTCAACGAGCAAAACACTTTGCATAAATTACTTAACAAAGAACGAACAACTTTCTATGTGGGTAGTCGTAATTGCAAAATTCTCCCCAGCAGAGATGTAATCGGTCAGGTTTTTTCTTGACCGGTAGTCGGTTCAATCTGACTCAAACTGATCGGACCGGGCCAGTCACGATGGATCTGAAGTGTGAGTGGGTGTTAGGGGTATCAATTGACATTTACCTTTATTTTAATTTACGCGTAAATAAAATTTTGAGAAATTGACATTGATTATAAATGTAAATTTCTTATAAATTATATCCATTTTACATGTAACTTTTTCACCTTTCATAATTATTGAATATAAATTAAAACCAATTTGTCATATTTTTGTGTGATACTTTACATAAGAAATATCCTAGTCCTAATATTACTCTTATATAAGATATTTTTTGCACTACCTTTTCATTTCATTAATATTTCTTAATTACCGAAAAGATTTCATTACTTATCCTGATGAGTTGTTCAAAGAAAACTCAATTTAGCCTTAATGCTCCAGTAAAATTGAGAGCGCTGCAGTGTCAATGAAAAATCTAAAATATTTTTTGCGAACTGTTCATTAGAAATCATTAATTATTTTTTATCAAACGTAGTTAAAGCTTGTAGAAACAAAAATAGGTCCTTTGTTACATTACAAAGTTTCATTTAAATCTAATTAAGTGACGAATTAATGCACGGTTTCGAAAATTTCTAATATACAATAAATATTCATTAGGTTTTCCAAAATAGGTTTTTTGATGTGCATGAAGAATATTTTAAGACATACCATGTTTATTCTTGTGTTGTCCATCAACTACTTTTGATGCAATTTTTCCAAAGATGAATGATATAGGTAGAAAAAAGACCGATAGGCGCAGAAACTCTTAAACCATAATGTAAAAGTGTAATCGTATTTTATTGATGTTTCATTGAAGTTGTTATTTTACCTCGACTGATATAATAAGTATTTACGTTGTTATTTCTCTCTAACAATTACTTCTATAATTGGTTATTAAAATGAAGAATCTTGACTTGTATTGTACACCACACTGTTCTAATTTTAAAAGAAGACTAATCGAATCCGTCTTTTATAATTATTTTAATTTGCCTAATAGAATAAGCTTTAAAATATGCACTTGTCATTATGAGTTTGTTAACGACAGCTTTAAGGTGCTGTTTGATAAAGAAGAATCTGTTAAACTGTAATGATCATGTAGACTATGAAATCTTTTTCTCTTTCTTTCAACCTGTAGCCATTACAGTTTCCAATATGCCAAGAATGATCAGGGGTGAGGGTGTGGGTATGGATGTAAGTGAGGAGAATTCTCATACTACACTCACAGCCCACACCCTAAGTCAATTGCAAATATAAAATATTTTGAAGAAAAAAATAATAAAACCATGAGTACATTCTGACCTTGGAAATAAGTAAAATATAGTGCCAATGGCCGATATTCACATTGGACAATTTCACTGCTCGAACATTTTCAAATAGTGTTTAATATATGAGTCGATGCAGAATTGAATGAGCTATAAATTGAGATAAAGTTTTTCGCCATCAGTTCCACCCTTAGATATTAGGGCAAAATACTGTAAAAGACACGGTTTTTGGACTTTTTTGATTCTACATTGAGATCATAGAGGACTGCCATAGATATAGTTTTGTCGAACAACTCAAGCTCTATCAGTTAGTGTATGACCTAATTTGAATAGCGAAAACGTTTGTGATTGAAAGATTTCAAAACAAAAGTATAGGTTAATTTTTCATTCTTCTTTTCTCTTTTTTTGCAGTTGTCTGTGGTCTGATAGCTGCAGCAAAACCAGAGATAAATCTTTAGACTTTAATGTTTTGAATTCATCTATGGTACGCAAGGCCTGAAAATTCTAAGGGCTCAAATTCACAAGCGGTTAATCGTCATGTT